AAATAAATAAATAAATAAATAAATAAATAAATAAATAATGTACTCTCCCCAGCCTGCTGTGCCGGCCCCACCCACAGGGCATGCTGAGATGGTGATTGAGACTGGGCATGGTGGCGCACGCATGCTGAGTTATTTTTCTGTAAGGGGCTAAAAAATGACAAATTACCTTTTTCAGGCTTGTTATTGTTTTTTGAGACAGGTTTTTTTTCTTGAAACAGGGTCTCTCTATTTAGTTTAGGCTAGCCATGAACTCACTGGGTAGCCTAAGCTGGATTTGAACTCTCCTGCCATTCCTTGCTTCAGTCTCCCAAATGGTGAGATCACAAACATGCACTACTATGGCTGGCAAAGACAGGGTTTTGCTATGTAATCCAGGTTGGCCTTGGATTTTCAGCTATTCTCCTGCTTCAGCTTCCAGAGTGTTTGTATTACAAGTGAGCACCACCATGCCTAGTTAGTCTTTATTGCTATTATTTTAGGTTTTTGGTTTTTTGGTGACACAGGCACTCTACCAATTTTTTCTGATAGAAAAAACTCTACCAGAATCGTTTTTAGGTACTAAAGACTGAGCTACATTGCCAGACCTTCTTTTAGTGACAGGCTTCCACTAAATTACTAGACTTCCTAAGTTCAGCTCAAATTTGTGATCCTTCTACCTCTGCCTCCCAGAATTATGGAATTACAGGCATATGCTACTGCCACCACACCTAGTTTGTATTAAGACCACAAAAGGATGACTTAATACTAAACTATAAGGGGTCAGGGAGATGGCTGAGTAGAATAAGCGCTTCCCTGGCAAGTACAAGGGCCTGAGTTCAATCCCCGGTTCCAAAAAAAACCTAAACTATAAAATCAATTATCGGGGCTGGTGAGATGGCTCAGTGGTCTAAAGCACCAACTTAGAACAAGCTTAGCAAGCACAGGGACCGCGGTTCAATCCCCCAGCACCACATGCCAGCCAGCCCTGCCCCCTGGTAGGCTGAGCTGGCCACACACACACACACACACACACACACACACATATTTTAAAAAAATAAAATAAAATAAAATCAATTATCCCCAAGTGATTTTGTTTTGGCAGTACTGTGGATTAAACCCAGGGATTCTCTACCATTGAGCTACATATCTACTGTCTATTCTTTATTTAATGTTGTGGGTCACGGATACAGCTCAGCGATACAGCACCTGCCTGGCCAAGCGCAAGGTCCTAACTTCAAAAATCACTGTTTAATGTGTACTGGTACATGTTAATTTTACAAAATATTGGGTTTCAATGTGGTACTTTTATACATAAAACTTTTTTTTGCAGAACCAGAGATTTAACTCAGGCCCTTGTGCTTGCCAGACAAGTGCTTATTCTCCTGAGTTATTTCCCCAGCCCCCATATATAAAACACTTTGCCCATATTGGTCCCCCCCCCTTACACACTCCTCCCCTTTGTTCCATTCCATCTAGTTGTCTCCAATTTTCATGTCATTTTTTTAGATTCCACACACTAAGAAAAAATATCTGATATTTGTCTGAGTCTGGCTTATTTCACTTAACATGCTCCTTTTCCTGAAAATTGTGTATGAAATTTCACTCTTCAACTAGGCATAGTGGCACACACCTGCAATCCCAGCACCTGGGAGGGTGAGGCAAGAGGATCATTTCAAGTTTGAGGCCAGCCCAGGTTACATAGTGACTTTATTTTTATTTTGTTTTATTTATTTATTTATTTATTTATTTATTTATTTATTTATTTTGCAGAACCGGGGATTGAACTCAGACCCTTGTGCTTGCCAGGGAAGCACTTATTCCACTGAGCCATCTCCCCAGCTCCAGTGACTTTATTTTTATTTTATTATTATTATTATTTTAATTTATTTTTTGGTGGAACCGGGGATTGAACTCAGGCCCTTCAGCTTACCAGGGAAACACTTATTCCACTGTGTCATCTCCCCAGCCTACATATTGACTTTAAAGCAAGAGAAAGGGAGGGAGGCAGAGAAAAAGCAGGGGGCATCCAGGAAGAAAGACAAATAAATTTCACTTTTATAGCTGAAAAGGAGCTGGAGAGATGGCTCAGTGGAATAAGCGCTTCCCTGGCAAGCGCAAGGGCCTGAGTTCTATCCCTGGTTCTGCAAAACAAAAGAAAACAAAACAAAATATAGCTGAAAAATACTCCATTATGTGTGTATACCACATTGTCTCTCTTTTTTTTTTTTTTCCTGAGATAGGATCTGGATAGGTTTGGGCTGTCCTCAAATGCAGTGACCCTCTTGCCTTAGCCTTTTGAATGCTGTACATATATACCATTATTACAGGTACATACCATCATTTCTAGCTCTACTTAGCCCTTCAGACACTACTGGGTACTTTGGCTGTTTCTATACTTTGGCTGCAGTGAACTATGCCACAACAAACATGGGTACATCAGTATCTTCTCTTTCTTCTTCTTCTTCCTCCTATATTTAGGACAGGTTCTACAGGGTCTCACTATGCAGATCCGACTCAGCAATCCTCCTGTTTTCAGCCTCCCATGTGCTGGGATTACAGGCATGCCACCACACCTAGTCTCAGTCACACCCTAGGGGCAGGGCTGGTACAGTACACCCTGGGATCAAACTCTGGCTGTTGTGCTCTGCCTAAGCAGGCATTTTAGTCCCCTGAGCTATCAGGCTAGCCCTTTCTTTCATTTTTTTTATTTTGAGAAAGCTTCTAAATTGCCTACACTGACGTTGAGCTTGTGATATGCCTACCTCAGCATCCTGAAAAGCATCAAAAGTTAGCGATACTACATAAGGCCTCAACTGATTTTTTTTTTTTTTTTTAATCTTTTTGAGACAGGGTCTCACTATGCAGTTTAGGCTGACTTTCAGCTCACTTTGGAGCCCAGGCTGGTCTCAAACTTGCAACTATCCTCTTGTCTCAGCCTCTTGAGTGCTGGGATTACAGGTATGTGCCACCACGCTTAGCTCAACTGATTTTTAAGAATCCAAAAGAGCACCTGCCTGGCAAGTGCAAGATCCTGAGTTTGATGCCTGGTACGGGGGGGAATCCAAAATAGCAAGGAAAAAAAAGGGCATAACAGTGCATGCCCACAATCCTAACACGTGGGAGGCTAAGGTAGGAGGCTATCCTAAAGAACTTTAAAAGTCGGTGAAATCCTGTTTCAAAATTTAAAAAGGGGGAGGGCCGGCCTGATAGCTCAACAGACTAAAGCACCTGCTTAGGCAGAATGCATTGGCTGGGGTTCACTCACCAGCCTGCCACAATGGCCCCACCTCCAGGTTGCATTGAGACAGTGAATGAGACTGGCATGGTGGCATATGCGCCTGTAATACCAGTGCTTGGGAGGCTGAAAACAGGAGAATCACTACAAATCCAAGCTGGGTAGTGAGATCTTGTAGACCCTCTACCAAATACATTTATTATAAGAAAAAAAAATTAGAGGCCGGGGAGATGGCCCAGTAGAATAAGCGCTTCCCTGGCAAGCACGAGGGCCTGAGTTCAATCCCTAGTTCCATAAAAAAGAAAAAAAAAAAAAAAATTAAAAGGGGGAGAGAGTAAAGAGAATACTTCAGTGGGAAGGTGATGTATAGGGTCTATCCCTAGAGAAGTGAAAAATAAAACTGATAGCTCTACACACAGAATTTTGTAACACTATACCTTGGTTGCAGTGAACTATGCCCCAACAAACATGGGTACATCAGTATGCCCATAATATAAAATTCCACCAAGAAGTACACTCTAAAAAACAGCAGGTGACTTCTGCCTCTTAATACATTCATAGGGCCGGGGAGATGGCTCAATAGGATAAGCGCTTGACCAGCAAACGCAAGGATCTGAGTTCAATCCCCGGTTCCCCCCCCAAAAAAAAAAAAAAAAATTAATACATTCATGATAGGGCCATAATCCTTACCTTTTTAATTTTTTTTTTTTTTGGGGGGGTGGGGGAATCTTTATTTCTTTTCCTTTTTTGGTACCAGGAATTGAGCTCAGGGCCTTGCATTTGCTAGGCATGCACTATGCCACCATAACTCTTATATCTTGTTCCACACAGCTTGACACACCAGTGGTACATACACGACTGTCCCATTCTATTATCTTCATTGGTAAAAGGACTGATAAAAGTGGTTAGATCCACTTGTACTACCAGTGATACACGCCACCCAGTGGGACAGTCATGCATGTACCACTGTTGCTTCAAGCTAAAAGGAAACATTTCAACCTAAAGAATAATCACTATTTACAGAGCACCTAGTTTGTGTGGTCCATGAGGTCTCCCCAAACCCACCTACCGTTCCAGCCAGGATGTCATGAGGGCAGCAGTCCAGAAGGTGACTCTTGCAAACACGGTCATCTGTAAACTTGACTCTCTGTCTGGTTTCGTCTCCTGAAATTTATTCGTGGTTTTAAATAAGACAGTATTATCGTATTAACCACAAAGGATATCTGGTACAACAATTCACCTGGATGATTTGTAGACTATCATTTCTGTGTTCTCCCCATGAAATACAACTGAAAGCTGACATAAAGATATTTACAACTGGAGTGAAATCCAGATATTTTGGAGGCTAAGTATATGATGACGAATCACAATGACAGGTGACTCCACCATTGTGCCAAAGAAGTCATGGAATCAGAAGTAAAAAGCTGAGCACCAAAAGTCATTAACCCCACAAAACATGTGGGCAATGAGATATCAAAACCCATGCTAAGCAGAATACAATGAATCATCATGTGTGACACACAGCTGATAATTTCCACCAACTAAATCTTTGTTATGGACAGTAGTTTGCCTAAAATTACATGAAGAAAGCTTTCCAACTATCACTCATATAATCTGGACCTGTTCTTCCTACCCCCCTTTTAATTCCCACCCTTAAAAAAAGAAAGTTGGCACCCAGGAGTCACTTTTAACAAGACAATACCAAAAAGAGCAAAAAGGAACTAGGTTAGTCAATACACACTGTGAGCTCCAACACATACTGTACCCATCTGCATTCTTCAAGACCTCAGCTGTAGAATTTTATGCCCGCTGTTGAAAAGTTTTAAAGGAAAAGTTTTCTTGCCCACACCTGCAGTAAGGAAGTCAGGGGGAATGATACATAAAAGTAAAGGCAAAGTGGTATGTGACAAAATTTAAAAAGCTAATCTGTGCATAGGACACAGAGTTGTGTAATAGTCAAGGAGGAATATATTTTAGGATTTGCAAGCATCCAGGATTAATGTAGTGTCTTTTTATTGAAAATGTTTTCTTTCTAAACTACACTTTTAAAATTACTTGTGAAAAAAAGCAAACACTTTTTTGTTATAACAGCTTAGAAATTGGTTGTGACTCACGGCTCGATGAACATGAGGCTTTTCTGCAACTCCCTTGCAGATTGATGTAGGCAGGCAAAGATACACTGAACCTTTATAAATAAAATAGAGGGGCCACAATTGTTCAGTTTGTATGAAATAAAAATATGGGAAGCAATTCAAAAGCAACTCAATATACAAAGAAAGCTAAAAGCACTTATTCGCCTATGAAATAGAGTGCAAAGAATCTGCACAGCCCTGAGAATGTGCCAGTGTGAACTTATAACTTCGTTACTTCAGTAAAAAAGAAAACAAACCACAGAAGGTATATAGTCTTGCAGGGATGTAATCACTTTCTCCTGAAACAACCTCCAGCATTTTGTGCTTCTGCCTACAGTACAACCTACCTAACGACTGCCAAAAGCTGGCTAAACAGAGGCCCTCCGGTGTGGCTGGGGGGGAAAGGGAGCTAAGTAAGTACTCGGCAGGAACCCACGTTAGAAAAGCTCAATTTCCGTCTCCCCTTGTAATGGTACAGAACAAGCAGGCCCCGGGGTTTCCAGGCCATCTGGCTCCCTCGGGTGTAGCTTCTTCCCCGAGGAGCCGTGGGAGGAATTCCGCAAGCCGGCTGCCGGCGGCGACCTGGAGCTCGCGCTGATTTCCAGCCCTTCGCCGACTTTCCAGTTCGCAGAGGGGCGCGGGGCCGCGGCACCGACGGGGAGGAAGTTACAAGACAGCAAATGGGACGGGGCTGAAGCCCCGCAGGCGGCGCGGACTCGGAGGGGGCAGATCACCCCGCCTCCCTTCCGGGATAGAAGCAGCTGGGGAAGAACCAGGCCGCTGCAGCCGTATAGGCCAGCCGGCTCAGACAAAGGCCCAGCGCCTACCTTCGGCGCAAGCGCAGACAGTCGCGGCCCTCGCCTCAGGCCGCCCGGCGGCCTCGTCTGAGTCCCGTCCCAGCCCCTCGCCTAGCGGGTCGCGCGAACTCACCGTCCCGAGCTGTGCCCATAAGCTGGTCCAAGAGGGCACGCATCTGCGCCTGGGCGGACATGGTGCCAGGAAGGGCGGCCGCGACAGATCCTCTCGGTGTAGCAGACGGGACGGCGACTGAACCGGTGACGAAAACTGGTAGGGTCGGAGGCTCGAGCCCTCTGGGCTCTTTCCCGCCGCGGGGGACGCTGGGAGGAAATACGTCCACACTAGCACACAGCCTTCTGGGAAATGTGGTTTCGAGGGCGCAGCCCGTGTTCTATTAAGATGTCCGTGCGACGAGTCAGAACGCCAGCCCTAGTTTTGGCCTACGCCCCCAAATTTAAAATCTAATCTCTTAGGGCGGGCGTGGTGGTGCACGCTGTAATCCTAGTATTCGGGAGGGCTGAGGTACGAGGATCGTTGCGCGTGCCAGACCAGCTTGGACTACAAAGTGAGCTCAAGGCCAGCCAGACCTGCATAGTAAGGGGCTGAGGAGATGGCTCAGTAGAATAAGCACTTCCCTGGTCAAGCACAAGGGTCTGAGTTTAATTCCCATTTCCGAGAAACAAAAACAGAACCGCACAGCAAGACTTTAACTCAGGGCTGCTTGCTCAGCCAGTACAAGGTCCTGAGTTCAATCCCCCCACATAAGGACCTTATCTGAAAGACCCTGAATTTAGCGTTTAAACTACTGTGATATTTGGTTTTTCACATCTGTGAAATGGGAATGATAAATGTTATTCTCAGATTTTTGTGAAACTTAAGCATGAAATTAACATTAGCTTCTCTGATTACTCCTGTGTAGTCATCCCTCTGTAAACTCTTGGTCTGAGGCCATAATATGCATCTACATGTATGCATCTACATGTATGTAGTCCTGCACACACTTCTATTACATATTTATGTTTCTTTTTCTTGTTGTATTTACTACAGAATCTACAGGGTCTTACTACGTAGATCCAAATCATAGTGATTCTCCTGTTTTCAGCCTCCCAAACTGGGATTACAGGCGTGCGCCACCAAGCCCAGTCTCAACTGCTGCCTCAGTGCGCCCCTGGGGTGGGGCTGGCATGGCACTCTGGGGATTGAACCCAAGCTGCTACTCTTTGCCTAAGCAGGTGCTTTAGTCTGCTGAGCTCTCTGGCCAGTCCAATGTGTTTCTTTTTTTTGCTTTTCTTTTCTTTCTTTCTTTTTTTTTTTTTTTTCTTTTGGCTTTTGATACAGGGTTTCACTATGCAGTTAAAGCTGGCCTTGAACTCATTTTGTAGCCCAGGCGGGCTTCAAACTCACAATGGTCCTCCTATCTCCACCTCCTAAGCACTAGGATTACAGACATGCAACACCATGCCCAGCCTTATGTGTTTCTTATATGGAGGCTGCCCGGAAAGTGCAAGGGCCTGAATTCAATCCCTGGTTCAAAAAACAAAAAACAAAAAAACATCATAGAGGCCAGCCAAATAGCTCAGCGGATTGAAGAATCTGCTTAGACACAGGAGCCAGGAGTTTGATCCCCTGGCCTGCCTGGCTGGCCCTGCCTCCAGGGTGCGCTGAGATGGTGATTGAGACTGGGCATGTGCCTGTAATCCCAGCACTTGGGAGGCTGTAAACAAGAGGATCACTACGAGTCTGATCTATAGATATATAGTTTTGTTTTGTTGTTTTTTTGGTACTGGAGATTGAACTCTGGACCTTGTGCTTGCCAGGTAGGCGCTCATTCTACTGAGCTATCTCCCCAGCCCCACGAGTCCTATCTAGTAGTGAGATCCTGAACACCCTGTAGACCCTTCCCTAAAAAAATACAACAGCAACATCAACAAAATCAATCTCTCCAAGGAGCCCAGCTGTCTTAGTTACTCTTCTCTCGTTGCTGGGACAAATACCTGACACTCAAATTGAAGGAAGGAAAGGTTTATTTAGCTCACAGTTACTGGAGGTTTCAGTCCATACTCGGCTGACTCCAAGGCAGAGCGGCATATGGCAGAGGGCAACCTTCCATGGCAGCAGCAAAAAGCAAGAGCACAAAAAGAGGTAGCAGCAGCTCAAGCAGCTAGCTTCTCTTCCCACCTTATATTGTAATGAAAATTACCTGCCCCAGGGCAGGTGCAGCAGCCACACCCACAATAATCAATCGCAAACTCCAGGAGCCACCCCAAGACTGCAGGAGGCTTTAGGGGGACAGCTATACACAAACCATAACACCAGCTAAATCAATTTCCTAAACTAGCTTAGCTTATACAGTTCACCCATAGTTGTACAACTTCACCCCAAGAGATGATCTCCTCTCTCATTTCTCTCTCTGAGGCTCTACTGAAGAGCCTCTCACCTTTGTATGAATTTTTTATTGTGTTTTGTTTTATCAGTAGCTGTGTTTAGACTGTCTTTTATAGATTGATACCCTGTGATCCACATAGTACAGAGGTTGTTTTTAATCTACAGTAGCTTTTTGTTGGTTGCTTGGTTAGTACAGCTTGTAGTCTAATTGTCTTTTTTGACATATAAATAGGAATTTGTTATCCCCACATCCTGTCCTCTGTCCCAGTGGCTAGACATTGTTGGATTACTTTCTTTTTCTTTTTCTTTTTTTTTGTATTTTAGGGAAGGGTTTACAGGGTGTTCAGGGTCTCACTACTAAATCAGACTCGTAGTGATCTGTCTGGATGCAGCTTATTGACCTTTTATAGAGGAAAACCCCAAGATGCACTGAGACAGTAATTGAGACTGGGCATGGTGGCACACTCCTGTAATCCTAGCTCTTGGGAGGCTGTAAACAGGTGGATCGCTACAAGTCCAATCTAGTAGTGAGACCCTGAACACCCTGTAGACCCTTCCCTATAATATAAAAAATAATAAAGAAAGGAAGAAAGAAAGAAAGAAAGAAAGAAAAAAAGAAAGAAAGAAATCTAGCCAGGGGCTGGTGAGATGGCTCAGTGGTCTAAAGCACCTACTTAGAACAAGCTTGGCAAAGCACAGGGACCGCGGTTCAATCCCCCAGCACCACACACACAAACACACACACACACACACACACACACACACACACACACATAAATAAATAAATAAGAAATCTAGCCAGATAAATTATGTCACTACAGCCAACAACAGTCCTAGTAAAGTGTAGGGATTTGAAATGGTGTTGTGTAGAGGTATTGTGGCTCCACTGATCTCTCAGAGTTCATGGACTTGGCAATAGTCTGCAGTGTCTGTCTGTCTTTCTTTCTTTCTTTTTTTTTTTTTTCAGTGTGTGTCTTTCTATCCAGGAAGAGAGGCGTGTTCCAGGACTGGCAGAGAACAAGATCCTCATAAATTTGTAGTTTTTCTGCCTGTGGCCGAATTCTCCAATAGGCTGCCTGCAGCATTGGGTATTAACACTGAGCAACTAGGATGGCACCCAGTTTGAGTTCTACTTTAACTGGGGAGGGGCTGATCTATGGTCAGACTGGGTGGGGCCAAACTCCAAGAAAGCCCCTGTTTCCCTCAAGGGCCTTTTATTTATTTATTTATTTATTTTGCTGGGGCAGTATGCTGTGACTAGGATCGAACCTCGGACCCTGTGCTTGCCTAAGCTTGCCTAAGCAGGCATTTTATAAACTATTTTTTTAATTTATTTA